TGACAGACGTGATGCAAAGAGCGTACGGGTGAAATTTATGGCAATGTAAAAATTAGTATGTAAAAATGTAAAAAGTACACGGCGTGGGGTACAGCAGAGTCATAAGAAATTACGTGAGAAGAAATATATGGATTATTACAAACAGCAGCTTAAACATTGAATTTCTTGTAGCGCCTTTTTCTCTATTGAAGATCTTACACAAGATAGGATGTTTCTGTCTAGAAATCTTTGTTCGAATAAATTTTGGGCATAATTAATATTCCTGCTCCATAAACAAAAGTCATTTTAGTTTTTTCAGCAATCGTGTCCCTTTCCATGCATAATTAAAATAAGCAATAAAGTTACTATTTTACAACATAAGTAATTTGTCATTTGCAATTATAAGTAGTTAGCAGGATTTGTCATGTTTTTTGTTATTATATATTTATGATTTTCATTATGTTCAGTTAAGTCACCTTTAAAAAGTTCATTAATATACAGGTGTTTCTAAATTAATGCGAAAGATTTCAAGGAGTGATTTTTCAGCAAAAATTAAGGAGAGTCTTTCATATAAGTTTTTGTTCAAAACCTCTTCCCCACCGAGTTACAGTATTCTAAAGTTAGGAGAAAAAATTGTTTTTATTTAATAAATCCACTATGGAGGAATTTAGAAGATTGAAATTTGGCAGATAACTGTTGTTAGTAAAAACCCGAAAATGTTATTACAAGAGGCTGAAAAAATCAATTCCATAATAGTTTGCATTAGAACTTTTTAATACGTCTAAATTTTTCTATTTAAAAACTTTTTAAAAATTTAAATAGTGGAATTCAATACGGAACTTTTTTGTCTCTTGACATTTTCTCCTAAAATTGTTAGTTTGATCACAAAAAAATAAAAATAATATACAGGCTCAAGTGAATTAATTCAGAGATTGGTTATTATTAGTCAAAGAAGTGAAGTTATGCCAAATTAACAATTAACAAAGTTGCAGATTTTTCCCTTAATTATTATTAGGGCTATAAGTTGGAGGAGAAGGGGTTTTGAATACAAAGTTATATGAAAAACACCCCGTAATTTTCACTGAAAAATCATCCCTTGAAATCTTTCACATCAATTTAGAAACACTTGTTAATAAAATCAGAAATACATACTTCGTTTTTATTTATTTAATTAATTCTAATTATATTTCTTAATTTTCGTATTTGTATTTTAACCAAAAAATTCACAACGACGAAATAATAAAGAACGAATATGTATACGTGAAATCGTTTATCTAAACTCGAGTAGTTGCAAAAAAACTTTGTTTATACTACCTACTCGTTTGATATGTGGAGGAACGCTCGGCGCTACCACGTCTGGAATTAAGTCTGCAATAGGACGAACAAAAATCAAAACTCACCATTTAATTAGCAAGGCAATTTTTGGTTCTCTGTTATAAAAAAAGGACAGATATTTTTTAAAATATTTAGATCTAATGTTTAATGTAATTAAATATTTTATATGTTAAACAATTTCGTGTCAATCACATAAATTCAATTAATCTTTTATTCTGAGTATGCAACTTCTACTACAAGTTGGATTTCCAATTTTATTCAATTCATTCATAATGATGTTTTTCTCGTTTGCCGTTAGAGGCAGCACGAGCTAGAGCAACCCAACTCGACCGGTTGAATAACTATGTATATCTATAAACAAGGATTAAACTTTGATTTCCTCCGTTTTCCATTTCAAATCATTTCATCTTAAATACCAACAACGTTCCCTGACCGAATCATCAATAAATGAAAGTAATTAATAAAATTGCTGAATCACGAAAACATGTGCTCCCCGAAAAATTATTATATCAAATAATTAAATAATTCTGAAATTAACAAATTTTCAAACAAGATACGACAAGTCACATGTTTTTATCGGTCGACAGCCGACAGTCGCGAGGAAGTTTTAGCAGCTAGCGAGCTACCGTCGAGCTACCGTATAGCGACAAATTTTTTATGATGCGGAATTAGAAATCGTACAACGATCAAACCAATTTCAAACATTTACAAATATAGTGAAATAACCGTTGAACGATTTTAAAGATGATCCGCTTATTATTAACACAATTATTCACCGAAAATCATCCCGCATCATAATTAATTAAATTACTCCGTTCCTGATGGTCATCCGTGAAAAATATTGCCCATGTAGGATTGCCCCGAACATCACCCAACTGCTGGAATTGTTTTGTGTTAAGGTGCGCGTAAATTAATACCGATTAATTGGTTTTAACGTGAAACACGTGGTCGGGAAAACGTTTGTGAATATAAGTGCCGTAAACAGTGGCCGGTTTTGTTAAAAATATTTTTGTGATTTTCCGTATAAGGAAGGGTATCTTTTGATTTGTGTTATAAATTTTTCCGTTAATTATTGTTGATTAATTGTTAATTACTCCGCCGTTCCTTAACCGATTTTATCCGTTCAAAGACAGTAATTATGTAATTTTGTGTCCCGCATCCGATAGCGCCATCAGAATTTTGCTATTTTTGTTAATTAGCGCCGCGCATCGTAAATTAGTCTTTGATAACTTGTACTGATACGATCCCCCACGCGGAAAAATCCAGTTTTCGCCCCAAAATGGTATAAATAGCCGGCCAAAATTCTGATTTTTAACAGTTCTTCATCAGTTCTACGACAGTTTTAACAGTCCGCAACAGCCGCTAATTTTCTTAGAATTACCCATATTTCAATTTTGCCGTAAGTCCGATTTATTTTGAAAGTCTTTGATTTTATTTTTGTTAACTTTCATTAATTTTTGTACATTTTGTCCCAACCTTAATACTCTTAGAAGGTTCTTCGAGTATTCCGTTCCTTTACACCTTAGGAAGATTTCCAGGTGTATCCTATATCTCCGCCTCATTTTTTTTTGTTTGTTTAATTTAAACTCGTTTATTATAAAGTCAAAGTCTTGTCAATTTATTCCCACCGTCCCCATTCTCCGACCGTGGTCAAAAATTAATAAACTGCCCTCCTATTTGTTTATTTTATTATTAATAAAGTTTATGGTTATTTGTTTCCCGAATTTTTCTTGTTTTCTTCTTTCCTCTACCGAATCCCTGAATCTTCGACTGTAACCCCCAAAAGTTACCTGGAGACGAAAGAGTTCCTTAACTCTCTAAACATAAGGTGGCGCCCGAAACCGTTAACATCCCGAACATATAAAAGGGCACCAAGACCCCTTTCCTAGGACCGAACCAGGCGGCGACAGATGGCGACCATCGAGGAGTTCATTCGTGACAAGGCCAGTACCGAGTTTACGCGGCTCGAAAACCACCCCAATCCCCTCCTAGCGGGATTAACGGATTACCACGTTGAACACCTTCGCCACACACGGCCAAGGCTGCTTCTCGTCTGACTATCCAGGAGTCCGATTGTCCTTCCCAATTCCACTTCCGATGTCACTATTAATCAGTGAACATTTTGTAATATATTTTCCGTTTGTTTTAGGTCCGATGAAGAGGGTTAGGGAAGAAATTCCAGGTACCTCAAGAGGCCCGTCATGTTCACCGTTCAATGCGCAGTTCTGCCGATATGTTTACGTTCTAAAGGTTGCTCGTCGTGCTTTCTTTTTCAGTCTCCGGTATTACATATCTATTGTATTACCCACCTTCTATGCAATCACGACGGGACCGACTTCTTGTCTAATGACTTCCATACGAGAAATGTTATTTATTGGCGTTTCATTTCTTCTGCTATGCCAATTTCTCACTAGGTGAAATTGTGGTTTAAATATTCTTGTCGGTAGTGCACGGGATTCGGAACGCATTAGGAAAATAATTTCAACACAGAAATTGTAGCAATTTTTATTCTCAACGATATTGCTCTTGTAAACTTTTTTCCCCGATGTATAGAAACCAAGATAAATGTAAAAATGTGAAAACTAGGTGAAATCGTGGTTTTACATGTTGTTGATAGCGCACGCGATTCGAAACATACGCAAATAATTAAGTTAAAATTAACGAAATACATAATCAAATTCGCATTATATATGTAAAATGTTACTTCTTGATCTTTTTATACAAGTTGTAGCGGTTATTGTAAACCGCGCAAGATAACTACAGGTAACTCCACCACACAAGTGATGACTAAAATCACTTGATTTGTTGATTAATACACTCCCAAATATAAATGTATGATTAAGCATTGTTACTCAATGATAAGATAAAGTCTCCATGAATCTCTTTGCTCTTTGGAATTATTTTAGATTTGCTGTGTCGTTGTATATAGCTTAGTTGTCGTGAGATATAGGGGAAGAATGAATGGTAATAGTGACTTTGAAAGTAATCTTATGGTAAGCAATTTTTAATTTTTTTGTTAAGTTTACATTTATTTTTTGTTATTTAGGGTGACTTTTTTGATGACGATCTTCATATATCAACAATTCCAGAATCATCTTTATACAGATCTATTCGAGAAGACGAGGTTAACGAAATTGAAAAATATTGCAACGGGTATTATCGCAAAGTAGTCGTTGATAATAATTTTAGCGGCGTAACCTGTGTTCATTTGGCTGTTCGTCATGGAAGGTTCAGTTTATTTAATGTACGTAAATAATTAATAATTTATTTTATTTATCCCTAGTTTAAAATCTTTAAGATACTTTTTATCTTTAAACCAATCCTTCGTTAATATTCGAAGCCGACAAGGAGAAACACCATTATTCTACTCGCTTAGAAACAAGGCTTCTTCTGAAACAATTTCCCTTTTGCTCCAATATAATTGCGATGTAACAATTCATGATAACAACGGTTATACTCCTTTACATCTAACCGCATTAGATAATAAGGAATTGAGTCAATTGTTGATTGAAAATGGAGCTGATGTTAACGCTAGCAACAATAGGAGAGGACAAAATCCTTTACACTTCGCCACATTGAATGGAAACTTAGAGTTATGTCGATTGCTAATCGAAAATGGGGCGGACATTAAAGCAAAGGATAATAACGGAGAATCTCCCTTGCATTGTGCCGTTCAAAATTCAAAATTAGAAATTTGTCGTTTACTAATCAAAAATGGAGGGGATGTTAACGCTAAGAACAACAACGGGCAGATGCCTTTACATTACATAACTAACACTGGTATAAAAGATATTTTTCAAATACTAATTTTAAATGGAGCAGATGTAAATGCGAAAGATAATAATAATGAATCACCCTTACATTTTGCAGCAAGGTCAACAAACATAGAATTTGGCCGATTATTAATCGAGTATGGTGCGGATCTTCACGCTACAGAAAAAAATTTCGAAGACACCCCATTACATTATTCCGTCAAGCACTCAAACGTTGAATTCGTTCAGTTTCTAATCAAAAACGGTGCCGATATTAACGCTAAAAATAAAGATTTGAAAACATCTTTACATTATGCCGCTTTCTATGAAAACATTGAAGCGGGGTGTTTCTTAATCGAAAACGGAGCTAACGTTAACGCTGAAAACATTTATCAAAATACTCCGTTACACTTTTGTGGTGCAATCTCAAATCTGGTTTTGAGTGGTGCGTTAATCGAAAACGGTGCAGATGTTAACGCGAAGAACTTCTTTACATACACACCTTTGCATTATGCTGCTATATCGAAAAATGTAGAACTCGGGTTAATGTTGGTCAAAAAGGGAGTGGACGTGAATGTTAAAACTAATAGTGGAAAGACACCCCTTCATGCTGCAGCTAACCAATTCGAAAACTTTGAATTCGGTCAATTTTTAATTGAAAACGGAGCTGATATTAACGCTAAGACTTACGATGAAAATAAAACAGCCTTACATTTTGTCGGAAGAACTAAGTGCTTGAAATTTGCGCAATTGCTCATTGAAGGTGGAACGGATGTAAACGCTAAAACCAAAAAGGGGCGGACACCTATGTATTACTCCATTAAAAATTGCAGATTTATTGATGAAAAGCTTGAAATGTGTAAACTTTTACGCCTAAATGGGGGTTCATTGTGAAACGTGATTTGTTACACTGTTACACTATTACATTAAGTTTGTAAAGCTAAATATTATTATAAAATGTAAAAAAATATTTTTTGATGATTTCTCAAATTACCTTTTGCTTTTTGTTATGTTATAGTATTTCTCGGTAGAAGGCCTTTCCCCCATCTCCTCGCATGGCTTATTTCTGTTTCTTTTTAATTTATAATTCGCGTAAATAACTGTAAAAAAGTAGAGAAACATAACTTTGAAAAACTGATAATGGCATTGGACAAACGAAATTATTTGACAAATTTTAATTAAAACCGCGTTGACCCAGCTGTTTTTGATTAAACCGCATTCTACTATACCGTGATTTTCTGCGAACCTATGGAACACCAAAAAAATAAAATATGTATTCAAAATTGAAATTAAGTAAGTAAGATTAAGTAAGAAATTAAGTAAGTTAAAATAAGTAAATTAGAAAAAGTTTCTGTCACCGTCAAAAATCGGCTATTTTTCAACCGCAAGGGATAAAAAAATTAAAATTCACGATATAAGGTAGAAATGTTCAATAATTACAATAAACTTCACATTAATTTTTTGTATCGGTCGGTATACAGGGTGTTTCGGTGACTCGGGGAACAAATGTAACCTAGTATACTAGAGTGAAAATGATGACGATTCATGTAAAAAAAATTAGTAAAAGTCCTCAAATTGCAAAGATACAGGCCATCAAAGTTATGAAATTATAACACATTTTTCTAAATATCTTAAACACTATTTATGGTAAAGCGTTGAAATTTGGTACAGTGTAAACTAATATCACGTAAAATCATTAGGCAATTTTTGAGTTGGATCGGTACTCGGGATCAGTTCTATACAGGCTGTTCCTAAAGTTTGTTTGCTCAGAACTTTTTTATTCTATCATAACCCTACATTTATTTTTGCAGTTTCTAATAGTAAGTTTAGTTTGGAATCTTTTATCACTCTTAGAGAATATTGATAAAAACCACCGTTTTCGTATTAAATGCAAAAATGTTAAGCTCCGAATTCAATAACGCTAAAAAAAAAAAAATAAATAAATAATCTGAATTGGCAATGACAAGTGAAAATCGAACTGAGCTGTCATAACTATTATGTATGCATGTTGCATTGTCCAAGTGTAGATTTAGCTAAATCACATTTTTAATTTGTTTTAGTTGGTTTAATAAAAGAATTCGAAAACAATAAATAAAAAATCAACAAAAAATAAACAAAAAAACGACAACACTGACAGGAACAATAAAAAAAGTACATAGAATAACGAGACGAGTAATAAAAAATACTAAAGGAAGTGTTCAAAAACTAAGATTTCTTTTTTTTTAGTGCTATTAATGAAATCGGCACCCAACATTTTTGCATTTAACACGAAAACGGTGACTTTTATCAATATTATCTAACAGTAATAAAAGTTTCTAAATTAAATTTGCTATTAGAAACTGCAAACATAAATGTACGGTTATGATAGAATAAAAAAGTTCTGAACAAACAAAGTTTAGGAACACCTGTATAGCATTGTTCCCGATGACCGATCCAATTCATAAATTGCCTAACGATTTTACATGACATTGATTTACACTGTACCAAATTTCAACGCTTTACTGTAAATAGTGTTTAAGATATTTGGAAAAATGTGTTAAAATTTCCTAACTTTTATGGCCTGTATCGTCGAAATTTGAAGACTTTTACTAATTATTTTTTACATGAATCGTCATCATTTTCACTCTAGTATGCAGCCTGATTCAGAGTAAGCTACTTATTTTTTTTTAGCCACACTATGGGTACTACTTTCAAAATATTTGGCAGTAATATGTTTTAGGACATTCTCTACACGATGGTGATACCAGATTTTCAATTGGACGAATTATTTCAAAATGGCGACTGTCAACTTTTTTTTTTAAATGGAATTCCAAATTTATTTTTTATTTTTGGGATCCTAAAAACATTCTTTATACGATAGTATTTTGTTTTTTTTTTTAATTCATTTCTTTCCCCATTAAAAAGCACACATTTTAATCTAGTAGCGCATGAATGTTTTACACTCGATGTTATTTTTGTCCAAATATCAAGTAGCGCTAGACACAAAAGAAACAATTAAACTTTATTTTGTAATAAACATCTACTTATTTATTTATTTGGACAAAAATAACATCGATTGTAAAACATTCATGCGCTACTAGATTAAAATGTTATGTTGATTTTTGATGGGGAAAGAAATGTATTTAAGAAAAACAAAATACTGTCGTAAAAAGAATGTTTTTAGGATCTCAATAATAAAAAAAAATTTTGGCATTCCATTTAAAAAAAAAGTTGACAGTCGCCATTTTGAAATAATTCGTCCAATTGAAAATCTGGTATCACCATCGTGTAGAGAATGTCCTAAAACATATTACTGCCAAATATTTTGAAAGTAGTACCCATAGTGTATATGGCTAAATTTGTTCCCCGAGTCACTGAAACACCCTGTATACCGGGTGTAACAGGATCATGGTACACCCCCCGTATCTCCTTTAGTTTTGAAGATAATTGATTCAAATTTGGGACATCCTATACACATGATAAGGATACTTGTTGACATACAAGTAATTTTTTTTTCAATTCCGGTTTCGCCAGAAGTGTCACTAACTTTAGATTTTTAAATGGAACACCCTGTATATTATTACATTTTTGAAATTTGAATAATTTTCTGAATCCAATGGTACCACATAAGTGACATTTCAAACGTCAATATTTTTGAGAATTTAATGTTTAATTTTCCATTTAAGTGTGCCCTGAGAGTTCCGTTTTATTCTAATTAACTCGTCTAATGCTAGAAAAATCTAAATTCCGCCAAAAATACCAAATTACGTGAGTAATAGTTCATCAATAAAGTTCATCAAAATGACGGAATTTACATTTTTCTAGCATATGTATATCGTGAAATACTTATCCCGAGATTTTGGAAATTTCCCAATATTAGGAAAACTACAATAAATAGGTATAGGTATGTTTATACATAATTTGTATAGAATTAAATTCCCTTTCAGATAGGCTAAAAGAATGTGGTGCGTTCCATTTAAAATTTTCTATTTTCTCGCCATTGAATATGGAGAAACAGTTATTCAATTTTTGACCTTGTATAAGATGCTCTGATACAACAAATGGCAATCTATTTGGCAGCATCTGAGAGTGATCGTGCTAATTTAAAGTTCTTTTGAATGAACGTTGGCTGAGATATGGGGTTTTAAAGAGCATGGTGAAATTTGCTAAAAAAGGCTTAAAACCAAAATAACTCGAAAACGCTAGGTACCAATAACTTTTATCAAAGTCAACCTATATTTTACGCACAATTAAAATGTGCAATCAAAACTATAGCATTCCATTTAAAATAACGAAGTTGTGGTCTACTTCCGTCTACTTCTAAATATTTTATATCGAAAGTTCCGAATGAACAACCCATGCTACCAAAATTTCAAACCTCTGCGAATAGTGGAACCTGAAAAAGTTCTAACGAACGAGTTACGTCAGACACTTGTATATACATATAATATGTATATATATATATATATATATTAGGGTGTCCTTTAAATTTCAATTTCAATATATTTTTACGCATACCTTCTAAAAACTTTCGTATTGACCTAATATAGTCTAGAAATAAATATTAGCCCGATTTATAAACGATAACCCGTGCCGACTTGAGTTTTTAACTTGTCCATACATGTTGCGCAGCTGCAGCGCTGCGACCTGTTACTGCGAGTTTCAATTGTCATTTCATACGTGATTTCTAACATTATTAGTGCGTTGTTGTTTATTGTGTGAAGATGTCTGTGGAATTACGAAGTGATAAACAAAATATTTACCTTATCGGACTGCCAAGCCACCAGATAAATGGTGCAAAATTACCATCTAATCGACAAGTTCTCACCGTTTTATTTTACAATATTCGTGAAGTCAAGCTGACTGTTAGTGAAAGTGCGAATCTTGTTATAAGAGAGTGCATTATATTTTGGGAAAAAGCCAGAATTCCTACGAAGGCATTTCCTAACTGCGTGAAGAAACTTGTTGATTTATATCATGTTTGGAGGGAGCTGCAAAAAAACTGTAAGAAAACTCAGGTGACGTTCAAAAACCGTGAAAATAATTTTGTAAAAGACCTTGATAACTTATTTGATATTGCACATGCTGATGCCTTCGACAGAATGAAAATAGAGGAAGACAAAGAATTTTTAAGGAAACAGAGAGAGCCAGGTCGGCCGGGATGCTTAGGTGGAATTGACAAAAAATTGGCGGAGAAAGAAGAACGAGTTAGGCAAAGACAATTGAAAGAAGAGGAAAGAAAGGTAAAACAAAGAAAGTTATTGGCTGTTGCATCTACTTCTTCGATAGATAGCTTGGAATGTCTTGAGAATTCGGATGAGGAACAGATTTCGAACTCTGAACTTAGTACTCAGATTCCTTGCCCTGAAAAAAGTTCTAAAAGAGGCACGAAAAGTTTCATAACTCCTAAACTGGTAGCAGCTTTAGATCGATGCCAATTAAGCATAAGGGACTCAGTTTACATTCTCCATGCGGTTGTAGAAGCGCTTGGTCTGAACAGCGATGATTTCCCTATTAACAAATCCTCGATTCAGCGAATTCGTACTCAGGCGAGAAAATCCAGGGCAGAAGCAATAAAAACTGACTTCCAGAATAATTTGCCTGACGTAGTCACAGTCCATTGGGATGGAAAACTATTACCTGGATTGGATGTACGAAGTTCAAAAGAAGAACGCTTGCCAATTATTGCTTCATTTGACGATAGAGAACAGCTTCTTGCAGTACCAAAATTAGAGAGTTCTTCTGGAAAACATCAAGCTAAAGCCATTTCAACTGCACTCTTTGACTGGAACCTCCATGATAAAGTACAGATAATGTGCTGCGATACAACAGCTTCAAATACTGGCCGTTTCAGAGGAGCTTGTGCTATTTTGGAGCAGACTTTAGAAAGGGAATTGCTGCTTTTTGCTTGTCGTCATCATATTTATGAGTTGGTCCTTAAAGCTGTTTTTGAAACCAAGGTAAAGCATATTACAAGTAGCCCAGATATTCCAATTTTCAAAAAGTTAAGAGATAATTGGAAAAATATTAACACCGATAACATTGAGCTCTGAATTTCGTTAAAGCACATATTGCTGAGACAAACATTACATATTTGTTAACTTTTTATAAGACTGAACTGGAAAAACCTTTTATTAGAGACGATTACCGCGAATTGGTTGAACTATGCGTTGTGTTCTTAGGAGGAGATACAGAGAATAAACTAAAACTCAGGCCCCCCGGAGCTTTGCATCAAGCGCGATGGATGGCGAGAGCGATCTATTCTATAAAAATATGTTTGCTTCAATCGCAACTTAAAATTACTGCAAAGGACAAAAATGCTCTACAAGATGTTTGCTTATTTATCGTCACCTTGTATACTAAACCTTGGCTCGAATGCACAGTGGCAATTAAAGCACCTAACCAAGACTTGTGCTTTTTGAAAGCTCTAAAAGAATATGAAAAAGTAGACGCGACAAGTTCCAAGGCATCCATAAGCAATTTTGTTCATCGTTTATGGTATTTGGGTGAGGAAACAGTCATGTTATCACTGTTTGATGAAGAAGTTGATTCCAAAACCAAGACAAAAATGATAAATAGTTTAAACAGAGACGAAAGTTCACATTCCGGCTATGTCCCATCGAAGGAAAAAATTACGCAAAATTTGTTTAGTAAGCTTAATATTTTCTTGTTTCTTTTTTCAAAGTTTCGTGGCTTAGTTTTTGCTTATTTAAACTGTTTTTTCTTTCTTTCAGATATGACGCTCGATGATTTTGTGACTCAAAGAAGCAAACAATTTCTATCTCGACTGCAGATCGACGACAGTTTTCTTCGGGAAGATATATCTTCTTGGGGTGACAATCCTACTATTTTGGAAGCTAGAAGACGAATAAGTCATTTGAAGGTCGTAAATGACACTGCTGAAAGAGCTGTTAAATTAATGCAAGATTTTAATGGACTTATCACGGCTGAAGAAGAGCAAAAACAGTTTTTGTTGCGTTGTGTTCAGGAACATAGAAATCTGTATCCAGACTGTAAAAAAACTACACTAAAGAGAAGTTACCCTAATTAATTATTATTATAAATTGTATTTAAATAAAAGTTTATGTAGATCTCATTTTATTTTTACTCATATTTACTTTATTTGTTGCATTTTAATTAGTTTTGGATCAAACCAAAATGACAGGCCAAAACACCATTTTTTATTAAACTTTAGAGCTCGGTCGGCACGGGTTGCAATCATGCTACAAATATGAAATTTCATATTTAAGTACATTTTAGCATTTATAAAAAAAGTAGAGGGTATGCGTATCGAAATTCTCAAAAAAAAATTTTTTTGCCATATAAGGGACACCCTAATATATATATATATTACATATATATATATACAAACACCATAACATTTTATCTTCTTAAATTACAAATTTTTGAAATAATTAAAGTAATACTGCCGAACAACAGATTTTTTTTATTTGTTCTGAGAAAATAAACTTAATATGTATACTTTTTTTTTTACTTAATCCAGGTTTGGTGTTATACAGTCTCTTCAATTCTACGAAAGTGTCACTAACGGTATTTTCTGATCTTCTTGTGTTACTTGACTTTCTTGGTTGCTTTACCTGAATGATATGAAATTGCTCACGCCTTCACCATAAGACGTTTTGTAGAACAGTTTATGGTTGTTCTTTTTCAGCTTTAATGATTTTAATGTTAGATATCTTAACTGACTAATTGTCGATGTTTTTTGAACAATTGATTCGAATAGTAGATGGAAATATATCCTACTGAGAAAATTCTCATGACTTAATTCATGAACTTTATACGGTTGTCCTGTTCCGGAACAAAAATTGGTCCTGATTTTAAGGCACGTTTTATTTGACGCTCAATAACAGAGTGAACGCTATTCTGCGTATGCCCTTTTATTAAAAAATTGTGCGCTATTAAATTTATATGATCGTATTTTCTAACAGCATAAAGATACATTGCAAACAAAAACTGATTCTTCTGCTGACCAGAACAGTTATCCGAATAAAATATCACATCCAATTTCTTTCTCTATCTTCTAGAGATTCCAAATAATTCAAAACACATGTTCTGATTTCGCAAACACCTCTATTACCTGCAGACTCGTGCCACATAAAACAATTCACTGCCTTTGAATTCAGTTCATAAACAGTTAAGTTAAAGACATTTAATTTGGAAACGTAGTAGAAACTGGACACGTCTCCTCTGGGACATTGAAGAACTGCTTGTAAATCATACACTGCAACGACAACACTGCCTAAATAGTATCTTTTTCTTTTTCTTTACGTGAGAGATCTTTTTCTATTAGATATGTGTCATATTCTTCTTTCATATTTTCTTTATCTTCTGCTAAAGCTAGCTCATACGATCCGCAAGATTCACAGCGATCTTTCTTTTTACAAAGAAAAAGATATTTACATATGCATTAAAAAATTTGCATATGATTTATTATTTTCTTTACAGATCGCTACATAGTCTCTATGGAGTTGGGCCACTGTTTTTCCTCCTTCGATGTATTGTAGGTCCATTATTGTAGGAAGGATTCTACTTCCTACAATAACGGCTCTCCACTGTGAAGTTATCCGTAAATCCCTGCCATAAACTTAAAACATTAATAATTCCGTAACCAATACGATTTGGGTCACCAAATTTCACACACAGGTCACTCTTACCCTCAAGAAAAGCTTACAACCCCATTTGGTAAAAAAAAATTTTTCAACCCACACCCCCGAAAAGGGATGTTTTCGCCCTGATGGGCACCTTCGAATTAAACCAAATTCAACCACATAATAGAACACAGTTCTAAGTATTTTTATCAATTTTCAAAACACCGTAACCCCTAACGGTTTTCGAGAAAAAAAATCATTCTTATAAACCGCGGATGGGACTTTAGAGATGAAATTTGATGAAATTTTAGGATGATTTAGAGGATGCCTTTAGCGATTTAAATCATCCGTCAAAACACCGTAAACCTTAACGGTTTTCGAGAAAAAAATTTTCACATAGCGCGGCGCGGACTTTGGGGGTGAATTTGACCCCGATGGACACATCTGAAATTGATGAAATTTTAGGATGATTTGGAGGGTGGATTTTTGATAGATATTTTTTATTATACTAATGGTCTCTTTTAGTTATAATTAAATTGTATAACGGATTGAGAATATTATTATAATTACTTGCTACCCCGCTCCAGACCGGTTCCAACCCTTGTTCATTTAAGTGAATGCGATCCCTGTGTAGAAATTTGTATTAAATACATAAGAAAAGAAACATTTTTACGTTGTGTTACCTTTCCATCATGTTTCTGTTAACAATATTGCTTCAATGTCGATACAATTGATTTGCTTTTCAGCACAAAACCGTCGAATGTAATAATTGATTTCCTATAAAGGCATGGTGATTATTTATTTATAGCATGACATAGAAATTATAATATTTTACGTTCACAGACTCGAAGTTTTTGCAGGAAGGAATTGTTCAAATTTGTATTCCTTTAGGATTTAAGGAAAGAAGGAAGCGGAAGAGGTGAGAATATTGGGACTTCAATTGGGATGGTGATGTTTTGTGGAGTATATCGTTAGTTCCTATCATTATATTGAACGATATGTCGTTCAACAATATCTCTACAAATCCAAGGGGAACATGTTTTTGGAATACACTTTGCGCGCCGCAAAAGTTTTAGTATTCTTTGACCGCCTACTGATAAGTCGAGGAAATATTTTCCGTTGCTTGTCCGTTTTGATTGTCGTCCTAAAAATATATACCATTACTAGGAATTTATTTATTTATTTATTTATTGATATCGGGGAGCAACAACAGAACAAACCCAATAAAGTTGCTCCACATAATTATTATATACGATAACCTTAAAGTAATATTTAATGTTATAAGTACGAAGGCTTTCACGGCCCGTGTGAATTAAACTAAAATTAGAACTAAAACTAGAACTACCACTAGAATCTGAGGTAAGACTTTTCTTTTAATCCTTAATTTACAACTCTTTAACAATCTTTGCGTTATTTAACAAAATTCCTTTTTTTTTCCTTTTTCTTCCCACTTCTTTTTCATTTCTATTTCTTTTCCTAATTCTCTTTATTTTCGCTTTAGGCCTTTTGTATTGGAGAGCGTTTTCTTTGGTTTATTTGCATTTCCTGTTGGAAGAAAACACATTATTAAATTGTATATTGGGAATCAATATCATCCTTTTTCGAATTCTCTTTCATCAATATCCATCCTTTTCTAAGTTCTGGAAGGCGTTGCTGAAGAAGAAGACTTCCTGGATTAGGTTCATCACAGTCAAGGTCAGATAAAAACCTAAAATAAAGTAAAGAATTAGAAGTTAAAAGTATTATATATAATTCAGTTATTTTTTTTGTACTTACCGTTTTTTTTTTCTTATCTGTCGAATTAATTAGTTTTTTTTGTTTTACGAAAAGTAATTGTTTGGTCATTTTTTTTGGTTCTGAATATTAATTTTTTTTTGTTTTGTTGTTAGATAATTTTCATTGGCGAATTTATTTTTGATTTCGGTTTTATTTTTTTTTATTATTACGGCTTTATTTTGAGCTCAAATATACGGAGTCGTGCGGGTTCAATTTAGGGATTTTCTTTTTTATTGTTCAATCGCTAATGACATTATTTTTTTGAATTTTGTTTTCGGAACCTTGTATAGTTTATTTTGTTTTAATTTTTGCGAAATTATAAATTTAATCTTTTCGTTGTTCATTTTTTTTTTTGCTTTTCGTTCTTTGGGTATTATCCCAAATAAATATTATTGCAACTCAAATCTTCAACTTATTTTTTTGTTGTTGTGTTTGTTGTTTTTGTCATTTATTTACAACACACACTTACCAACTTCACATCACAGTTCGTGGACAATACGGGAGCAACTGTGTGGTGGCGCCTTAAAGAAATTCTACCCAACCCAATCTCCAATTGAGCTAGGCGAGGATCCGTGTTGTGTTTGGTGTTGTAAATGTGTTGGTTATTATATGTATTTTTTTGTTGTTGTAGTTAAGGTCTCACAATATTATTATCATTAGTTTTGATTTTTTTGTAAGATCATCGGTTGCTCGACCACACCATTGTCACCAAATTAATTTCAATTTACATCCATTTATATTTTTTTGTGCTCTACATCAACTATTATTATATATTATATATATTATGTATTTTCTCTTTATTTACGCGTTTTTTTTTTCGTTACACCAACTGCTGCAGTTGACAATACATATTATTATTGAATAAAATTATTCAAGCAAAATAAACCTTTTACACAAACTATTTACGCTATAAAAACATAAAATCATTTCCAACTCACATTTCTAAATAACCCCATCCCTGTAAATTTAAACCTTCTATTTTAGGGTTTTATGACATAACAATGGTTCCATAACAATGATATTTTACATGTACAAAAAACTTTATACCTCAAATACCCTTTTTCAAAACCATTACATCTGTGTTTTA